AACATATATATATACATATACACATATATATGTATACATATATATGTATACATATATATGTATACATATATATATATATATATATACAGATACAAATATCATACATACATACATACATACGTACGTATATATAAATACATACATACATATATTCATACATACATACATACATACATACATAAATACATACATACATAACTACAGAAATACAGAAATACATACATATACACACACACATACACACATACACACACACACACATACATACACCCATACACACACACACACACACACATATATATATATATATATATACCTTGCCCCCCGTCTGCGCCACCATTGCTGCGGTCAATCATTCCTCTTTCTTTCGCAAAGTTCAGCGCAGCCATCATACCTGCAGTAGCACATCATGAGGGCGTACTCGTGAGTTTCGCTTAACATGTAAGAATACACTGACGTGCCTCCCACTGAAGTATGCATGCATCTAAGTGTGTATTTGGACACCCATATCAGTGTGTAATACGTATGCTGTATATATACGTGTATGTAGAGAAGTCCTAATGTGAACTGACCCGCATTTCTGTGCGCCATGCGTCTGAACAGACCCAAAAAGGTACAACAATCACATAGTTCTTGATCACTTGTACGAATATACCTACCCAAGCATACAGACGCATCTAAGTCGATCGATATATCATGCAACACGCGCTAATGTACGAATATACCTACCCAAGCATACATACGCATCTAAGTCAATCGATACATCATGCAACACATGCTAATGTACGAATATACCTACCCAAACATACACACGCATCTAAGTCAATCGATACATCATGCAACACACGCTAATGTACGAATACACCTACCCAACATACAGACGCATCTAAGTCAATCGATAAATCATGCAACACACGCTAATGTACGAATATACCTACCCAAGCATACACACGCATCGAAGTCAATCGATACATCATGCAACACACGCTAATGTACGAATATACCTACCCAAACATACACACGCATCTAAGTCAATATACCTACCACCACGTGCCAGCTTGGTCTCCTCCAATAACGTAAACTCTTCCGTATCACTCTCGGGTTCTTGTTTGATTTCCGCCTCCGGTATTCTGACATGTGCCGGCGGTTCCTCTTTAATTGTCTGTCCCACACCCGTCCATGCGCTCTGTTGTGGTGTGGTGGTATGATGTTGAGGTTTAGCTGTGACTGTAAGTCATGGCTTATCCGGATGTGGAATGAACTTAAATTTTCTGCCTTGGGGTTTAGTTTTTAGGGTTTAAGGTTTAGGATTTAAACCCAAGGCCCTTTAGTACATCCACGCAGGTATATCGTATCTCTTCCCAATCTTCTCGTCGAGCACTACACCCACCCCCCACTAATTCCCAACTGCAGTATACAAACGTTCCCTCGATGAGAATATACGTATATTAAAGTATAAACAGTCCATCGTACCCGTGTTTGCCAGACTATCTCCTCAATGGGCCATGAAACTCTTCCTAATTATTTCTTTCCCAAGAAAAATCGGTATATATTGTTTCGAGAATGCTTATAAGACTGCCACTACGTGTTCGCAATAAAAACAATCTCATCTGTACACTACGTGTTCGCAATAGAAACAACCTCATCTGTACACTACGAGTTCGCAATAGAAACAACCTCATCTATACACTACGTGGTCGCAATAGTAACAACCTCATCTGTACACTACGTGTTCGCCATAGAAATAACCTCATATGTACACTACGAGTTCGCAATAGAAACAACCTCATCTGTACACTACGTGTTCGCTTACCTTCTTCTTCTCTGTGGGCTCGTCGATCGCTGCATCCACATCCATCATATCCGTAGCCACTGGTTCCTCTTTAATTGTCCGTTGTGCATTTTCCGTGGTCGGTTCCGTCTTCACCTTGCGTTGGGCTGTGGGAACTGCGCCCAGCGATCGAATAGACTCGACATTCGCACTGATTGTCAACCCTGTAAAGAATGGAAGCAGAAGTATACGTATGTTATATATATATATATATAT